TTTCTTGCTCCGTATTGTTTTTTTTCCAGCATTATGCGATTTTTTATTCTCCGGCTGCCTGACTTTCACTTGAGCCTGTCTCTTTGTCTGGCTTTCACTTCGTCCTTTCCTTGCTCGATGTGATAATCCAACCTTGTGCCATGTGAATAATGGTGTTCCAGATATTAAGGCAAAAGCAGTTTAAGGATTTTTTCTATCTTTTACCAGCAGCATTCGTGCGTTTTTTCAATGTCGTAGACGTCGGGAACACCGCGTGCTGATGACAGTTGAATAATAATATCAGCATTGCAAAATATAAAAAAGTTGTTGATTATTTGTAAAAATAACACACATACGAACCACGTTGAATGAGTTAACAAAAAGTCGAATTCACTTTAGCCATTTCCGTTCACAAAATATTTAAGCTACACAATCGATTTTAAAGGGAATGTATTTAGCAATTTACATTTTGCATACCAAACATATTTTCAATTAAATTAAAATAAAACATTTTCCAATTTATTTATTCCTGTTTTCCATCGTTTACAATCGATTTGGTGTTTTTGTTTGTGTTTTTGAAATAGTATGAAGTATGAAGTATTTTAAACTATCAACCCTCTTCATACATGAAAAAACAATAATGAAAACACATGCTTTGTAATTAAATGGAATAATTTTTTGGGCTGCCTAGCAGGGCGCCTTTTGCATTGATAAATGCAAATAAATGTACTTTTCATAGGAAATTAACAATTTCATGTCGGTCAGAAGGGGAAGGTGGGAAAATTGTGTAATAAATATTTTCTTTGAAATAACAAAAAGAGCAAGCTTTAAAAACAAGAATTGCCCAAATGGGCAGCAGACACTAAAAGCAGCAGACTGGCCTGCAGGTAATATTAAATAAATTAATGTGCATCGGTGATACGGCTATGGTGAATCGAATAAATTACTTTAAAAATATTAAATATATAAAAAAGAATTGTGATAAAAAATATTAACTTATTTATGAACCTCAATATAAACGTTATTAAATTGGATATTATAATGCTTTTTAGTCTTTTAAAGTATTCAAACTTTCTTGTTTAATAAAGAATGCAAACAAAGAACGTGGTATTTTATTAAAAAAATAAATTATACCTCTTCTTCAGGATGCTTTCAATGTGCAAACCGTTTTTTCTGCACAGGAGACAAAGCCGCAACAGTTTACAATAATTTGCATACAATTAAAAAACATAAAATAAAACGAAACCGGCAAAAGGCAACCATTCTCAGGACAATTAACTCGAAATGACTCTCGCTCTTTTAATTTGTCGCTGAAAAGTTCACGTTCTTTTCACGGTATTTTACCGCAATACATTTAATAATAGTTGTCAAAGGAAAATCATTTTGTTCCAAGAATACACTTAAATTGGCAACCAACTATGTTTTAAATTATGGGCCTGTCCTAACAGTGGCATTTTCATTTATTTATGCAGTAGCCAACAATCAACTGACCAAATTCAAACTGGTTGGCCAAATTTTAAAACAAACAAAGCATGTTGAAAATATTTACATATGAACTTTCATTTGACTTACAATTTTCGTTGCAGTTGTTGTTTTTACAGTTGCTCATGAATAATATGTTTACTAGTTACGAGATGGTTACTGAGTTGAAAAGCTGTGGTTTGCAATCGTTGGTAAGCCCTGGGCAGTATTTAAATGTCCGACCGAGCCAGCCAGATCTGGTCCCATAATTAGTGTCAATCTCAAGGCCCACAGACAGCCATATCCTTTGACCCCGACATATGTTCCGTATCTGAAGACTCTGCCCACTTAAGTATGCAACACAAAATTCTCGTACGCTGGATGCGTACCAAAAGGACCAAAACCAAGACTTCTTGTTTGCGCTGGTGTTGGCATTGTGTTTGTGTTGGCCGTCTGTGCTATTTACTTGGCCAAAACGTGCGTAAAGTTTTAATTATAAACTTTTTTCTGCCACTTCTTTAATGCGACTTGTCCACTCTTGAAAAGTTCTTGCCCAAAATGGTATTTAACGACACTTTAAAGAGGCAATTTTAGTAGATTTATTGGCATGAATGCCGACATCTGGTCTAGTAACTCAAATTAAGATTAATTGCATGATTTATGCGCACATTTTTCAGCTGCCTCTATAAATGGTCAATAGCCAAAAATTTAAATTCACCGAATGCAAACACTTGAAATCGCTTTTTGTTTACATATTGCATGGCAAAACCTTTTTGTATAATTGCAAAATTTCTGGGCAGTGGAGAAAATCAATTCCATTTGCTGATGGGCAAAAAAATTAATTTGATTCCTATGTGTGTTTATATCGATGGAGTAGAGTGCAAATCAGATCAAATGTGGAATATCAAGGGTCATTTGCTGAGTGGAAACTAAATGGGGAATGAATGAAAAAAGTCGGCGAAGCATGGAAAGCTTTTTAGGCTTTAGTTTAAATTAATTATATATATTTCTATATTTTAAAATCTGGATCATGCAATCAACGAACCATCAATTTCCAAAAACTAATGTTTAAATTAGGCTCTTGTAAGGATCTAAGGCCCAATTCTCGTTCCTTTGAAATATGGTGCAAATATAATCGCGTTCTGTAAGCTATCGAAACCCGAACAATACACAATGCAAAGTCAGCACACACAAATGCTTATTACCCTGAGAATGGATGATTGGCTATAGACAAACTCCGTTTGGGCGTATAATTGCTGGCGGGGCTTTGTAAGTCCACGAAAGTCTTCACATCTCCGGGGTTTTTGTGCTCTGACTGATTGATTCGGTGAGTGATTGAGCAGTTGTGCACTTCGGCAAAACATTCAATGCATAACTACAATGGGCATAAGTTATGCCCTGCTGCAGAAATCCCCATAGATAGAGAGTGAAAGGCGGAGTTCACTTGACTCGCTCCAGTTCCCCCACAACGATAATCATGTTGTTGATGCCGCTGTACAGATATGGCATCCTGATCCACCGACTGATTCAGACAGCATCCATTATGTCTGGCTGAATTATTCAGGCAGTCAAGTGACCACAAGCAAACCTACTTTGTTGATATATATTTACAGCACACTAGGAAATTCCCTCTTTACAGAAAATGTTTAAAATACATTTTCTATAAAAATGAAAATTAAACACAACCTTTAATTAATTTATTTTAGTTTTTGCCTGATCAAATATCTGACTTAAAACACCTGTTGCATTCATAATGAAATGAATTTTAATTTATTATGTAATTATGCAGTATTAGTTTTAGTTACCCAATTTTAATGGAGTTTTCTTCCTCTCTTAAGCTGTATGTATAAATAAATAAATCAAAAACATAAGCAACGGAACAAAAAACTTATCGCCCCAAAAACTTCCGCTGCACGGACGCTTATAAAATGGGGGACATTGAACTTCTCAGCGCTCGGACAAAGGCATTGCTCAAAAGCTGTAAAAATACTGGCAAAGAAGCCGGAAAAATTTACAAAAAATATAAAAAAGCCACATCAACACGAAACATTAAGCTTCAGAGTCACAACATATTCGGCTGGCTGATGCTATTTCTTTAAAGTCGCCACAGAGTTCAAATCGAATGGGAGCGCACGCGCCTGCAAGTATGCAATGCCGTAATTCGAGACCAGCACGCGATGGAGATGATGTTGGGATATGGCTGGGGATAGGTTTATTTTACGGGGTATAGGGTTGGGGCCTTTGAATCGGAACGGAAAATAAGCTCAAGCTGGAGGTTGGCCACCGAGGCGGGGGGCTCTTTACGAAGAGCGGAAGTGCTTTAGTTTAATGTTGGTAAAGCATAAGCAGCAAATCTGATTAAAGTACAGAAATATGAAAAACACCGATAAAAATATATTTATTAATAAACGATTTTAAGATTTCAAGGCAAGAGAAAGTTCTTTCGTTTTCTGATTAGCCCAATCTCTTAAATGCAATCGAAATACGATTTCAAACATAAGTTATTTTAACTTACAAGTACGTTTATATGATTCCCTTGGTACTCTGCTTAACTCTCCATCCATTGAAGCACTAAAGTGAGAAATGTTAAAGCAATCGACTCAATTAGCTATTGTATAAGCACTTCCCACACTCCCACGCCAAGCAAACAAACACAAAACTCAATTAGATGCCATAACTAAATAATCACAAACACATTTACGCCAACAAGAGCTCTTTTCAGTTGAAACCCAACTGCCGACCAAGAAACGTGGCTGGCTAAAAGAAAAAAAAAATATCAGAAAACCGGGTCAACAACAGGAACAACATGAGCAACAATTTTGAAACAATGAAATGACGACAACGACAGAAGCGGCAAGGCATGCCTGGAAAATTGCTCGAAATGCTCAGAAGCCAGGAGGGAAAATGGTGGAAAGCGGGCGGTCGGAAAAGTGGGTGTTCGCCCACCAAGGAGGAGGCATTCCAACATGTGAGGCACGTGACAAAACTTGTCAAGTGACTTTACTTCACTTTGACTGCGAATCCCGGCTCTGTTGTCCGTAAACAAGAAGACGGAATCCCGGCTGAGAAGAAAAATAGGTTTGTGTGCATTGTCCCCCCACAAAATGCTTAAGAAAACTCCGCTCTCGGTAAAACAATAAAGGAGAGGCAAAAAGGAAAAATCAGTCGCGGGCCATTCCAACTTGTTGCGCCTTTGGCTAAATTATGACATCGCGAGTTTGGGGGTATGAGAAGCCCTTGGAGACCCACTGAAGTATTTGCAAAGGAGCAATGAAGTGGAATTCTATTGGACACAGAGACAATCATGAGCAGCTTTAAGAATTCCCAAATTTGTTATGGTTTTAAAAAAAGGTTAACTTAAAAACATAAAAAATATTTCAAGTATAATAACCATGAGCACTTAAGGAATAATATCCCGTACTTATAGTGGTATAATATGAAGTCGGTTAACTTATAAGAACTATTAAAAATCTGCAATATTATATGCCCATAGCATGCCATGAAAATCCAACCTAGGAGGCCATGAAACAGATGTTTAAATTTTCAAACCTAGTTTACGAAGAGAGGGGTTGAGCCTCATTCTCGTTCGGCTTCTCTAACAGTAAACATCTTTTTGGAAGACTACCAAATTTCTTGGACTAAAAATCCTACTTCCGTAAACAGGCTAATGTGAGTGTGAAAAAATTCTTATTTTCTATCGAAAAATATTAGATTTGAGTTTCCAGAATAAAGATGTGCAACCCCGGAATGTGTTCAATGCCCGGCACTTGCTGTGGACCTACTGGCGGACTGGGACCCTGTATGCTGTGCGGACCCTATAATGGCCAGTGGTTCCGGTCGATCAACCACTGCTGCGGTCCCTGTGGACCCTATGGCTGCTGCTCGTGCTACGGGCCCTACGGCGGACATTGTTAGCCTGCTTAGAAGGAAAGTAGGATTTACTCATCCACGATCCTAAAAAGGGAACTCAACAGTTTAAATATGATGCCTCATCGACAAGAAAAAGCCATCCAAAGAAGGAACCCGGCATAGTGGATCCAAAAATTTGTGTTTGACGAAAATTGTTGGGATACATCTCGTTGGGTATCTAGCGAGGGGACTCCCAGTTTAATCCAACAGCAATAGATGTTAATAAATTTTGCGTATATATAAAAAGGTTGCTATTTTAATTATTAGTTCAGTCCATAAGTAAATAATTGGTATACGTACATTAGGACAATAGATATTTTTATGGAAATTTATAAGGTTCTACTCTCACCCACGAATACGGTGCGGTAAGGGAAACCAATATTTTATATAAAATAGGTTTTTAAGCGTTGGGTAATGGTTTCAAGCTGGTTAGGACTCAAACGAAATATTTTTTTTTACTATTCCCTTTTTATTTTTTAACAAAGTTTGCATGACTTCATTTTAACTTGCCTAAGTTTTAAATGTGTTTAGCAAGCTTTGCGCAAAGCTTCAAATGCAATTTTTAGGTTTTCAAATACATATGTTGCCCAACAAATTACACCATATTTAAGAGTGAGAATAAGATTGTACTTTGCTGGTTATCTACAGAGATATTCATAATTTAGCAGTCCCAATTATTTATTAAAAACGTTTTCTGTAAAATCTTGCACAACAAATTGCCCATGCTCTACGTTGACCAAATTTAAAAGGCCGGCTTAGCCTGCTTTTGGTTTTGCTTACAGTCCGTTGGGTGCATTTAAGGCTAAAACCGATTTGATTGTAAATATTTGGCTCGTTTACGACTAACGACACATCGGGGACCAGCCAAAAAGTCGTGTAATGCTAATGGGCCTGTTGAGTGCAAATTTGTTTACGAGGAAAACACCACCAAAATTAGGGGGGTATGCTTTCGTTTTTATTAGGAGCGTGGTTTCGCATCAGACCGCCCAGAAAGAAATGATCTCAGTTAAATTTGAACATCAACGGTAACTGGAAAAATTGAATCTCAATTACTTGGTGTGTTTAATGGCTTTGGGGCCACTAAGACTGGGAAAATATTCGGGGCTGTTGAGATCCGGGGCTTGGGGTTTTCCAGACTTCTTGAAGTGGGGCTTGCGCATACGGTTCTCCCCCTGGAGGCGTTGGTTGAAGTCACCTTGGCTCTGGCGCAGAGCAGGGGGAATGTAGATTTGGTTCTTAACCTCCGGCGGCGGTTCTTCCTTCTCCGGCTGCTCTTCAGTTTTCTTATCTTTCTTCGGTTCCTTCTGGGGTTGCATCTCCAACTTTTGCCAGGGACAAAGGGTATTGGACAAACCATCTGCCTGACCCACGTCCATGCCATCGCCGCCAGTGTCCCGCTGCTCGGAATCCTGACCTTTGAGCTCGCCGCCCCCGGAAAATTGAGACAAAACCATAGAGCTAAGACTCATCTTGATATTACGGCGTGAGCTCGAATACTGCATGCGATTCTCCTCCGTGAAATCACACCACTCATCCTCGTCGTCAACGCTTTCGTCCGAGAATCGAATGCCAAATTCCAAGGGCTTCACAGATCCAGATCCGCTGGTTCCCGATCCCGAACCCGAAGGTCCATCCCCAAGATCATCGGGATCACCTTCTATGGCCAGCTTTGCCGATTCCTCCAGCGTTTTGTACAACTCATCGGTGGCCAAGTAATTCGACTTTTTTTTTTACACTTTTTATTGTCCTTCTTGGCAAAGAAATCCTCAAGACTGGACATTGTAAATTAGTTATGTTCAGCTTGTGTTCCGGAAAAAATCACAATTTGGTTTTGATCTTTATGATACCAAAATTAGTTTGAGAGTGACTTGAAGTCAGAAACCTTTTTACAAGGCATGTGCTGGTAAAATCATGGCCTACTTGTGACTTACAAAATTTTAAGCTATTAATCGGTAATAATTAATTATAAATACATCTCTGGTGTAAAGTGGTGTATAACCAAACCTACAATCCTAAAAGAATACAACTAGATTATAAAAACTGAAAAACCATTAATTTTGAGGACAGAAAACTATCTTTAAATTGGGATTCTATTAAATTAGGTTAGTAATTTATTCGAGTATTTATAATAACCGAATCTTAAACCACATTCAGCCGCATATATTTGCAAAGTAAACTATACATTTTTGCGTCGAGTCCTTGTGTCCTTTATTTTTACGCCGCTGCCATGGCAAAATAATCTGGTCGCTGAAAAGGCGTAATAACATAATTTGAGACATGGGTACTGGTTACTGTGGGCAATGGCATTTGCTATCTGGTGGCATATGCCACTAATTAGAATTATGTGCGCGTAATGCCCCGGGCCACGCCCCTTTTGTGCAGCCAGTGCACACGCCCACTTGTCCCAGTGTGTGTGCAAGTGTGTAAGTGAGTGTGTCTGTGGAGAAAGCGCCTTTTTACGCCAGTGTGCCGTGCGCCGAGTAGTCACATATGTTCATTATGTTTGCCAGCCGACAAGTGGAGTGGCGCCCAAACAGGGTGGTCCTCCTCGAATCCTCGACGTCTGCTTGAGTAATTACCAGAAACAGAAACAGGAACGCAACGTGAATGCTGCGGCGGGATGCAAGTGCAGGTCGTCCTTGTCGTCATGGCAAAAGCTTTTTATGAAATGACGATGACATAAAACAAATGCGCTGGTCAAAAGACAGCGAACGCACACACATATATATATATATAGAACATGTCTCTACTTAAATTTATTATTTAATTAGTGCGACCAGAAAAGTGTGTGTGGCTGCTATGCGTATTAAATATACGGAGATATATGGAAACAAAAGGACCGTCACTCAAGAAAATCTTTATAAATTATACTGAATTATTTATATATAACTCGAAATAAATGTACAGGTACTACTGTGGTACAAAAAGTAAACCAATGTGATCCCCACCCAATAAAATACACTTATGCCAACGTTTTTTCCAATCCTCGAAACATGCCGAATAGTCCCTTTTTGGTATAGATATCAGCGCCTGTTCTCTAGTCTGTTTCTGGATTTTACTGAAATTCAAAAATGTTTGTTTTTCATTTTTGTAGAAAACAATTAATTTTTCCAATTTCTAATTAGTAATTACACCAAAGTTTCGAATAAAAATGTTCTGCTAGCCCCGAGGATACCTAAACTGCACCTGGCCGATCATTAACAAGAGCGCGATACGCACCTGCAATTGTCAGTCTATAATTAATTATTATTCAATTAACACCAGAGGCCAATTAAAAGTTCAAAGTGAAGTTAAAACGTGACCAGGAACCGCAGGTCTTGAAAAATGGAGTAACAGAACGATGTAAGGGAGTACCTACACTTCTTTAGATCTCAATTAAAAATTTCAATTGCCCTAGGGGCAAGTAAAAATTCAGATTGAGAAAGCGGTTGTGTTCAAAGAAATATTCCTGTTTTCATTAGGCAAAATGAATTTATGCACATTAGACTTAAGTATTCAATGGTATATGAGTCACGGGGCCCAAAGAAAAAACACATACTGCACAAAAGTGGAGGGACTGTGGAAACTGTGAAAACTATCTGAAGAAAGCCCCAAACCAGAGCCATCAAAAAGCCATGACAAGTCAGACGGAACAGGACAAACAGCACAGAGGGATGGTGGCTTTTCCTGGAAGGTGGATGGGGGAGGTAATCAACCCCGATCCGGAAGCGAGACTGCTAAAAATATTGGCGCCACTTTGCCGGGACGTCTGGCCGGAGAGTTGGCGACGTCTGCCTCAGATCTCGCAGCTCTCCTGTTATTGTTATTGATTTTGGTTGGAGTTTTGTATCCTCGACCGGGTGTTTTCATCCACCAGGATGCATAATTCGGGAACATCCTTGCGTGGTGGCGTTGATGACATCATCATCGGTGGTGGTGGTGCCCATCAGTAGCAGTTTTCAGTTCTCAACTTTTCCATTCAGTTTTATTGTATTTCATACCATCCCGCAGACTGATATTTCAGTACTTTGTAAGCTTATATGGGCATTATATTTTTATGCTTATTATGCGGCTCGATTACTTTAAAGCTGTTTATCGCCCGCAGCCGCAGGAGAGTTAACATTTTTTGTATATATTTTACTGACAATGAGTCAGTTACTGTCGGCCACAGACCGGCAATTTGTAGTAGCCGCACAACTTACACCCATTAAAGCAAAGTGTTGCAACACATATTTAAATTACAGACTTTTCCGCATCACGCACGACCCGCCGCCTTTTACACATGCTCGCGCTTTTCGCACCGCTCGCCTGCCTGCGTGCCATGAAAATTGTTTGGGAAATTGCAAAGTTCTTCTGGAAAACTTGGCATCACGCTTCCCCAAAACGTACACAAAAGATACGGAGAAAGGCGTATTAATGCCAGTGAAACATAGCAATCGGATGGAAAGAATTGCTGAAGAATTGCTATAGTTTTAAGCTATAATAGTTTGGTATTCATAAAGGTTTATGGTTGGGAGTATGTAATGCGAATTCTCTTTTATTGAAGTTAAGAACAAAGGAACTTCCCTATTTTTGTTATAGTTAATTAGTTTTTGCTCTGAGAAATAAATTGATTATTATTTTTAATTAAGTTGTTAATATCCGTAGAGGCATTTTTAGTATTTTCAAATATTTTTTTTAATTATACCTTTTCCATTAAAATTTAAACACAATTTCCTACATTACTGCGATCTATTGATCCATCTTTTAATAGGAAACTTTATGATTGTTCAATCATATTAAACGAGTTCTGTAAATTTTGTGGGATGCAAAAATATGTTCGCATTGGCAAACTAAAATTCTTGTATTGCCTTTATCCAATTTTCCTATTTGCCTTTATTTTATTTGATTTAATCAATGTGCATTGCCATTTTCCGGCGAACACTTTCCTTTCGCCCCCCGACTTTCTTTGGCGTTCCTCTTCCTCTTTAGCGCTTTATTTGTTTGTGTTTGACTTTCGCTGCGTGGGCGTAAAATGACGCGAAGGAAGCTCGAAAGGTAAATACAATTACACTGAGTGCTCCTGCTCCGGATTTCCACCGCCTCCAACCCACCCACTTTCTATTGGCCAACAGCAGGGAAAAACAGATAAAAGCAAATACCTAGGCAAACAAATCATTTGGAAAACATTTTTGCGCACAAATCACATCAAGGTGCAAAAATTATTTACGAATATTATTTTGGCAAACCCAGTGCGGCAAACGAAGCGTTGAAGATGGCAAAG